ATTAAAGTAGCTCAATACGAGCTTTACTACCCATTGACCCTGACTTCCATGGAGGAACTAAAACACAGTTTCTCAACCAATGCATGTTATCATGGTAATTCCAACAGGTTAAGTCCAAACTCCAGGAAGATATAAAATACATAGAATATTGAAACTATCTATTAATTTATACGTAATTATTTTTTTTAAAAAGGAGGCAAAGTCAGTACTTGAATTTCAATTGATATCAGCTCCTTGGTGCCCCCTGTACAGGAGAGCTCAAATGTAGTGAGAGAGAAGCGTCACAAGGAGCCAGTCATTTGTGCTGTAGCGGTTATGTGCTAACAAGGGACATGCTCATAGGAGATGAGAGTAGTGACAGAGAAATGAACTCATCATCTTGTCTTAGTTTTCTCCTTTCATACGGTATGTCAATTAAAACTCAGTTAGACATGTTTTAATAATTAAAATCATAAAAATTAGCATTTGAAAAAATCTTCAAACTGGAGTCAGAAGACATGACTCTGCGGGCCTCATGGAGGAGGAGTGGTCACTTAGCGCTTATTGACAGTTTATACTGCCCTTAGCTGTGATACTATTGTCAGCGTTGCCTATAATGCTACCACCTCCCCCCTCACTCCCCCTCTTTGTTGGGGTCCCCCAAGACTCTGTCCTTGGGCCCCTTCTCTTCTCCATCTACACCTCCTCCCTTGGCCAACTCATACACTTTCACGGCTTCAACTACCACCTCTATGCTGATGACACACAAATCTATCTCTCAACCCCCCACCTCACCACCTCAGTCTCCGCCCAAATCACACACCTACTGAGCGACATATCAGACTGGATGTCGCTCCACTTCCTTAAACTGAACCTCTCCAAAACCGAGTTTCTTGTCTTCCCCCCAGCCCGGACACCACCCCCCATTGACTTCTCCGTCACATCCAACAACGCCACCATCAAAACCCACCTCGCAGGCCAGAGTACTTGGTGTCATTCTGGACTCCAACCTATCCTTCCAGCCCCAAGTCCAATCTTTAACAAACTTGTGCAGACTCCACTTGTGCAACATCGCCAAAATCCGCACGTTCCTAACCCCAGAAACCACTAAACAGCTCATCCACTCCCTCATCATATCACGACTCGACTACTGCAACTCCCTCCTCACTGGCCTGCCTCACCGCTGGCTATCCCTGCTTCAGTCGATCCTGAATATGGCTGCCAGACTCATTCACCTTTCCAACCGCTCCATCTCCGCCACCCCCCTCTGCCAATCCCTCCACTGGCTTCCGATTGCGCAACGGATCAAATTCAAAATCCTAACACTGATGTACAAAGCTGTCCACCATACTGCCCCAAACTACATTACTGACCTAATATCCAAGTACCACCCAGCACGCACACTCCGCTCCTCACAAGACCTCCTTCTCTCTAGTTCCCTGGTCTCCTCCTCCCATGCCCGCCTCCAGGACTTCTCCAGGGTATCACCCATCCTCTGGAACACCCTGCCCCAACCCATCAGATTATCACCTACTCTCCTCTCCTTTAGGCGCACCCTGAAAACCCATCTCTTCAGGGAAGCCTACCCCACACCCCCTGCTAACCTGCCGACCTCCTCCACTCTTCCTACCACTCCATCCTCCACAGCTATCTCCTCCTGTGCCACCATCCCCTCCCTCCTAGATTGTAAGCTCGAAAGAGCGGGGCCCTTAATCCCCTCATGTTTTGCATTGTATTGGTATTGTTCTGTCACATGTTCTGTCCCCCTTTGTAATGTACAGCGCTGAGCGAACCATTGGCGCTTTATAAATTCTGTATAATAATAATAGCGAGGTCTGCTAATTGCAATAGGCTTATATGTCAGATAAGCTCATCACATTTCTCTATATCAGCAGATCACAAACTGTTGACACCTGTTAAAATAAAAGTAACACTTTGTGAATTGATTCTAAAGGAGAGAGGAAGTCTCCTTGGAGTATCTAAGTTTAGAAAGCAGTAGGAATTATTATGAAGAATGTTTTAGCTAAATTAACATACACCAAGAAGTATATGTCAAGCCTATAATGGCATAAAGGAGAACATAGAATAATTAAGGTGGGAGACCCTGCGTTGAATCACAAATCAATTAGAAAGCTCTCCCAATTGTAACAAGTCCTTCATTCAAAATAAACCCAACTTTTAACCCTGGTTCTCTAATAACACTGTTCAACAGGTAAAAAGTTTTGGGCATAAAATTAGCTAATCTTACATAATTTTGGGGTGCTGAAAACGAAAATGACCCTAAAAAATGTTGATTGGCTCTAGTTTCCATGATATATTCACCCATCTAATGACGTAAGCCATTCAAAATTATGATGCAACTTCAGCTGCATATTGCGCAATTGATACTGGTGACCAATAGAAAATTGCATGTATACTGAGATGATGCAATATTAGCCTTTAATTGCATCACTTCACTGCATAAAAGCTGCAGTATCTGTAGCTGATTGTAGTTCGACAGCGTCTTTACATTTCGTTTTATGCTTATATAGGCTACTCAGTAATGCCTCGAACTTGTGTGAATAAAAGCAGATAATTTCTGCTATATCTGCGGTGAAATAACTTTTATCTCACAAAAAAAGGAGGATAACAGGAATGATTAAGAAAGCGTACAACTTGTATTTTGGCTGCAAGATAGGAGACCAGGACAAGAGCTGGGCACCACATATATGCTGCAATTCTTGTGGGGACGGCACTGGAGCAATGGTTGAATGGAAAAAAAGGCATCTATGCCTTTCGCTGTGCCAATGATTTGGAGAGAGCCAACAGATCATGTTAGTAATTGTTACTTTTGTATGGTGCCTCCAATTGTAAAAGGGCTAAATAAGAAGAAAAAGTTATATCTGTGCACTATCAAAATATTCCATCGGCAATACGTCCAGTTCCTCATGGAGAGGGGCTACCAATTCCTAAAGCACCAGAATCCTTTGTGGTTGAGTCAAGTGAGGAAGAACCTGAAGTGTGTAGTCATCAACCGTCAACCTCACATGACCCAGACTTTCTTCCATCCACACCCACTGAACCACACCTCATTACACAAGTGGAATTGAGCGATCTTATCAGAGACCTGGATCTTCCGAAGAACAAGGCAGAGCTTTTGGGGTCAAGACTACAACAGTGGAATCTCCTAGCAAGTGATGTTCGTACGTCTTTCTACCGTCATCGTCAGAAAGATCTGATCCCATTCTTCGTCCAGGAAGGTGATATTGCTGTATGTAACAATGTTCATGGTTTAATCTCAGCCATCGGCGTATGCTATGATCCCGATGAGTGGAGGCTGTTCATTGATGCTTCAAAGGCGAGTCTTAAAGCTGTTTTGCTCCATAATGGCAATCAGCTGCCGTCAGTTCCAGTTGCTTACGCAGTTTCAATGAAAGAAACGTATGAAAAACTTGAAAGAGCTTTTAAGGTGCATCAACTATGATGAACATCAATGGTCGATTTGTGGTGACCTGAAGGTGATTGCTATCCTACTTGGACTTCAAGGTGGATATACTAAGTACTGCTGCTTCCTCCGTGAGTGGGACAGTCGTGCGAGAGAAATGCACTATGCCAAAAGAGACTGGCCATTACGCCAGTCATTGCAGCCTGGAGAAAAAAATGTTAACTATCCAGCACTTGTAGACAGCAATAAGATCTTATTACCTCCATTACACATCAAGTTGGGATTAATGAAAAACTTTGTTAAGGCAATGGACAAGAATAAAGCAGGTTTCAAGTACCTGATTAGCAAATTTCCAGCACTTAGTGCTGCAAAAATAAATGAAGGAGTCTTTGTTGGGCCACAGATTCGTAAACTTATTCATGATGATGAGTTTCTTTCTCTGTTGCGTGGAAAGGAAAAGGCTGCCTGGACAGCATTTGTGTCAGTGACATCAAATTTTCTTGGAAACAATAAAACACCAGACTACAAGAAAGTGGTAGAAAAACTCATCCAGACTTACAGAAATCTGGGTTGCAACATGTCTCTAAAAAATTCATTTTCTACATTCGCATCTGGATTTTTCCCCACCAAACTGTGGAGCAGTGAGTGATGAACACGGAGAGCGCTTCCATCAAGACATTGCAGCTATGGAAAGAAGATATCAAGGTAAATGGAGCCCATCAATGCTTGCTGACTATTGCTGGACAGTTGTAAGAGATAGCCCTTTCCTCGAATACAAGAGAAAAGCCAAGAGAAGAAAAACCGACACAAACTGAAGACAAAAACTAGTGAGAATCCTAAGTATTAAAATGATTCAACTTAGCTTATGGCTATAATTTTTCTTGGTAATCCTATGCAATATATTATGCCATTTAGGCTTTGTTATGTAGTCAATATCACTTGCTTTATATTTGTGGAAAGACATCTATCTATATAATTATTGTGCATTATGTAGTCATTACGCCTATAGTAGAAAACTTTCCGTTTACAGAAAAACTAGAGCCAATTGACAAATTTCATTGTTATATTTGAACTCAGAATGTGAAATTCATTAAGAAATGGATCCTTTTGTTTCCAAAACTGGCAAAAAATAAAAATTTGTTGAACAGTGTAATAATAAAAAAAAACCTAGTAGAAAGACCTAATGGATTTCCTATTTCGTCTTCTCCTTCTGTCCCTTGCCACAATGTAAGAATAAAACTCTATGAAGAAGAGATAAAAGTTCCAATGCACCTTCATGAAGGAGGCTTGCAAGCACAGAACGGGCATAGAAATTTAATATTGTTCAATGAGAGAGATTATTTAATATATACCAATTTATTATTTAAGTTTACGGATAATTTTTTTTTTTATTTTTTATTTTATAAGCATCAACAAAGTCATACAGTATATGATAGGCACAGGAGTGTTACATAACAACATTTCACAATGTAAATAAATTTACCCTTAAAAACATACACTATATGGCCAAAAGTATTGGGACAGCCCTCCAAATCATTGGATTCAGGTGTTCCAATCACCTCCATGGCCACAGGTGTATAAAATCACGCACCTAGGCATGCAGACTGCTTCCACAAACATTTGTGAAAGAATGAGTCGATCTCAGGAGCTCAGTAAATTCAAGCGTGGTACTATGATAGGTTGCCACCTGTGCAATAAGTCCATCCATGAAATTTCCTTGCTACTAAATATTCCACAGTCAACTGCTAGTGGTATTACAACAAAGTTGAGTTGCTGTTGGGAACAACAGCAACTCAACCATGAAGGGGTAGGCCACGTAAAATGACAGAGCGGAGTCAGCGCATGCTGAAGCACACAGTGCGCAGAAGTCACCATCGGTCTGCAGAGTCTATAGCTAAAGACCTACAAACTTCATGTGGCCTTCAGATTAGCACAACAGTGTGTAAAGAGCGTCATGGAATGGGTTTCCATGGCCGAGAAGCTGCATCAAAGCCTTATATCACCAAATGCAATGCAAAGCGTTGGATGCAGTGGTGTAAAGCACACCGCCACTGGACTCTAGAGCAGTGGAGAAGTCTGACCAATCACACTTCTCTGTCTGGCAATCTGATGGACGTGTCTGGGTTTGGTGGTTGCCAGGAGAAGGGTACTGGCCTGACTGCATTGTGCCAAGTGATACGTTTGGTGGAGGGGGGATTATGGTATGGGGTTGTTTTTCAGGGGTTGGGCTTGGCCCCTTAGTTCCAGTGAAGGGAACTCTTAAGGCATCAGCATACCAAGACATTTTGGACAATTTCATGCTCCCAACTTTGTGAGAACAGTTTGGGGATGGCCCCTTCCTGTTCCAACATGACTGTACACCAGTGCACAAAGCAAAGACCATAAAGACATGAATGAGCGAGTTTGGTGGGGAAGGACCTTGACTGGCCTGCACAGAGTCCTGACCTCAAACCAACAGAACACCTTTGGGATGAATTAGAACGGATACTGCAAGCCAGGCCTTCTAGTCTGACATCAGTGCCTGACCTCAGAAATACACTTCAGGGAGAACAGTGAAACATTCCTATAGACACACTCCTAGACCTTGTGGACAGCCTTCCCAAAAGAGTTGAAGCTGCTATAGCTGCAAAGGTGGACCAACTCAATATTGAACCCTACAAACTAAGACTGGGATGCCATTAAAGTTCATGTGCGTGTAAAGGCAGATGTGCCAATAGTTTTGGCAATATAGTGTATGTGAGCATGAAGTATTGGACTGTGCCAATACTTTTGTGTGAAATACGTCAAACATCATCAACAGTTGAATTGCAGGTAAAGAGTTGTGGTTTTATAGGTCTGCAAAAGACTCATTGAACCATGTTTATGTTAAACAATTTAAGCTGCCTACTGAATATTTAAATAAACATGTTCTGATAACTTGTAGAGCGATTCTAAAGCTTGAACCACACCAATTGCACCAACAGTTACTGTCAAAAAGCAAGAACTGACATTTTTAACATACACAGAAAAACTGGATGCAGTTGTGAAAAACTTTGGTCCTACCAAATACTTCTTTACCAGATAGAAGTTGTTCATGGAGACTTCACTTTCCAGTTTGGAGATATACTGTATATTATTATGTCTAGAGATGTGCTGGATGGAAAAATTTAGTTTCATTTCCTATTCATACATTAGGTTAATCATTTTGTTTCACCGTATTCATTATGTTATAATAATTCATTTTCAGAATTTGGTTTGTGTATTCAGATTAGTTTCATATATTCATTATTTTCAAATTGATTCAAAATTCAAATTTCGACATTTGAATTTCAGAAGACGGCTATATTCTTTCTAATTATTTTATTCTATTCTTTTTCCTATTCTATTCTATTATTTTCTATTCTATTCTACACTGTTATATTATTTTATTTTATTTTCTATTCACTTCTTTTATTCTTTATTCTATTCATTTTATTTATTTCTACTTTTATTCAATTCTATTCTGTTTTATTCTTTTCCTTTATTTTCTATACTATTTTGTTTTATTCCATTCAATTCTTTTTTTTCTATTATATTTTCTACTGTTTTATTCTATTCTGTTCTGTGCTATTCTATTCTTTTTTTATTCTATTCAGAAGCATAAGTAGGAATAATCAGCTTCATATACCTTACTGTGAAGACCGTGAAGACTGAGATTGAGCTCTGCAGTCACATTTGCAGCAGTTGTTTTCTTATTCCGGGTCACAATTCTGCCTTTTGTCTCTTTCAGTCAGTTGGCCATGTTGACCGAGCTTATGCTTATCAGATGACGTTTTCCCAGAAACTGTGTATGCTGTCATAACCTTTGATACTGGACCTCGCAACATGGCAAATAAATTGTCAACTTCAGTCACAGAGGCACCAGGTAAGCGGGCACCAATAATTTGCCTTCTATGAAGCTCAGTAAGCTCTGACATGACTCCTTATTACTAGCAGCACACGCAGTGAATGATGAAAGTGAGGCTTCCCACCTGTTAGCTAGGTATCTCATCACACAGCGGAAGCAAAAGAATATTACATCACTTCCGTTTTCAATATGAAACATGCTATCACTTTTACACCTGCAAATCATGTAGTGATTCAATTTTTCGGTCCAACCCAGTATGTCCCCTAATGCTAATACACTGAATGGCAGGGGTGGACTGACCATTTGGAAACTGGCACTGCCGAGGGCCCGGGGTCAGTAGGGGGCCCCATGAGATGCCCCTGGTACCTTTTTCATAGGCTTTTTTGAGTTTGGGCAAGGACACAAGGGCCCCATGATCCCATTTTGCCCGGGGGCCCTATGAGTTGTCAGTCTGCCCCTGCTGAATGGTATGCCAAGGCAAACATAACTAACTCTGGGCAAACTGAAAATCTAGTAAACTGTCTGTAAACAATCTGTGACCTTGATGTTCACGTTTTCTAACATTACTGATGTGCCACTTTAATTACTTGTGCTTTTCCACAAGCTACTGTTATATTTGCTTATTTCCTTTAATTGTTTTTTTTTTATACACATGCTTTGTACTGCTGTTATTGGCTTGTGTTCATGGTGGTTTACCTAGTGAACAGATGTGGATTCTTTTTACTTTTTACATCTGTTGCCTGGAGGCCTGACTGGTGGTTGCCCTTCCCATCTGGTGGCGATACCACTGCCTGGTGGGGGAAGTCCTCCCACTCACAATTTTCTGAGTTATGGTATAATTCAACCCTTATTTTTTAAGATCTGTTATTGGAGGAAGGGTTACTCAGGGGATAATCGGTGCTTGTTCCCAGAATTATTATGTCATTTTTGCAACATCAGTTCTGAAATATTGCATTTTTTTTTGTTTATTTCTGTTGGCATTTTCCAATGTCTTTTAAACTGGTACTAAAAGCTAAAGATTTTTTACCTTAATGCATTCTCTGCATCTGAGTGCAGCTCCCCCCTCCCAGTCCCCACCCCATTATACTTACATGAGCCAAATCCTGATCCAGCGCTGTGCACAAGAGCACCGGCTCTCTCCACTCCCTCCCACTTTATAGGCTCAAAGATAGCAGCGAGAGCCAATGCCAATCACAGACAGTGAGGAAGGAGGAGTGCCAAACCATGCTCTGTGTGTCTTTTGACACACAGAGCACAGCTCTGGAGCAAGCCTGCACAAGTGCTCCTCATAGCAAGTGCAGCCAGGAGAGCCAGTGGGGGACCTGAGAAGAGGAAGATCAGGTCTGCTCTGTGCAAAGACATTGCACAGAGCAGTTAAGTATAACATGTTTGTTATTTTAAAAAAAAATATGGGTTTACAAGCACTTTGAGGATGTTTAATGTAAAATCAATAAAAAATTTAATAAAAAAGAAAAAATAAACATGTTGATTTTCCCAAGCTCTAGGGTCAAAATCAACAATGCATTCTTACATAAGCCATTGCCAACCTTTTTCTTAATCATGTTGACACTTTTAATGCAAAAGTTCTAATGAGGTAGTGAAGGAAATAGTGGATTATTACAGATGACTTAAAACCCACTGCAACAACACATTAATTGCATTTCACTATATCTTAATGAATGTACATTCATTAATGAGCTGGCCAACATTTCATAACCAAGCCCCATGAGATATACATTGGAAAAAGTCTCAATTTATCATATGCAGCCTAGCTTGTTATGTAAATAATCTTGAATAAACTTTCTCCCAAACCTCCTAACCAGCTAACAGGAACATGCATGAAATGGAATTACTGTCTAATTAATTAATAACGCCATAAACAGCTCAGAATCAAACAAGCAGTGATATTAAGTATAATTAATTAGCATGTTAATAAGGAAATGTGGATGCTTACATTTTTTTCTGTTTACTTATTTTTTCATGAAGGCTTTTAAATATTTACATGTAAGTGGTGCAAAGAGGAGACTGCAATGGACTGTTGCGTCTAGGTTACATTGTAAATTATGGAGTTCATTATATGAGAGACGGTAGTGGAGTTTTCAAGATGCGGCCTTGATCACTGTCGTTCTGTGGCTCGAGGCCATATTGATTAATTCAAATAAATTTGTTTAGTTAAATCACCAGTTATGAATCTAAGGCTCCAATAACGTTCACATATCCAATAAAATATAAGGAAGATTTATTTTATATTGTGTTTTTATCCAGGAAATGCTAGAGAGGTAAGCAAAACCTCATGTTTGTTCTTAGGTATTGCTATTTCTTCTTGAAATTGTTACTGAAGGCAATGGATTTAGTAAATAATACTTTGTTCCTGCAGCTTCGGTACTTTGTTTTCTTTGTTGTGATGGAAAAAGTAAGGATTGTTTATCCATTTTGTTTGCTTCTTGTGTGCTTTTTGGGGAGATTTCTCTTTATTTCCTGCACTAGTGACCTAAAAAGCATCCCAGTTACCCCTGTGGTCTGATTTTTTCATATATTCCTATAAATCAGACTTTCTCGTGCTTTTTACCATGAAAGACCCCTATCAATAATTTCCAGGTCTCCAAGGACCCCTGTCTAAAATAATTATATATACTGCACAACTGTGTGATCAACAAGTTTTAGACATACTATTAAAAGAATAAGAAATGTTAAGCCAGATGAGGACAATTTTGAACATTCCCCTGTTCTGTATGAGAAGAATATTCTCAGGCTTAATCACAGAATAAGTAATAACAGCCAGAAAAGAAATGCAGTAAGTGCAATTTGTATTGTCTCCTTAGATTGATGTTAAGGTGGAAGAAGAGCCACCTTAGATTAGTGATCAATGGGAGAAGGGCCTCCTTACATTGGTGATCAATGGGACAAGTGCCTCCTTTGATTGGTGATTGATAGGACAAGGGCCTCCTTAGATTGGTGATGGTTAGTGGAAGAAGTTGGGGGGTGCTCCTTAGTTTGATGATCATTTGAAAGGGCCTGCTTAGATTGGTCATCAGTGGAAGAAGGGCACCCTTAGATTGGTGATTTGCGGGAGAATGTCCTTCTTAGATTGGTGGTAAGGGAGGGAATAGCCTCCATAAATTGGAGA